ACACCTCATGTCAGCAACATAGCCCGTAATATTGATGACTTTTAAACATATTCACAGCCTGGTTAGCCTGTGATTCAATTCTTAATGAACAACCAAACAAAATAAAACCGCTTCAGCGTTTGGTTTATATGAATCGCGTTGTGCGCAAATATATTCATATCAATCTTTAATCGTATCACAATATTTATTTGACTATAACGCTGTACGTTTCGTGAAATCGTTGTATAAACAACGCATGTGAGAAATGTATGCTGAACCGAAGCAAATACTCGTCTGTAGAAAATGTACAAAGACTTAATTTGGACCAAATTGTTTTGGGATGTATTATCTTTCCCTAATTCATGCGGTATCTCAAGCGATATATCAAAAATTTTATTTACTCAATACTTTAGTCCTTCAAGAATTTATTATAAATTTGTCACTCCACTCTCGTTCCAAAAAAATAATAGTTATTTCCACATATATTGAATAATTGCATTCAAAATTATTGACCATTCAGGTTGCAAAACAGACCAGCCGAAGCCAGGGGCTTTCCAATCTCGTTCCCCGAGCATGCCCGTTCGCAGGTTAAGGGTGGGCATAGCTCTGGAGAAATCGTATTGATTCTGGCCTGTGATTGGCTAACAGCAGATAGTACGTTGGATTTCCAACGTGAGTTCTACGCATGCTTGGCAATTGCAGCAAAATTTAAACAAAGTATTTGGAATTTCTCGTCGAAAATTTGATACTTTTTCGACACTGAAATCGATTGAAAACAACTAGAAATTCTGGAGGAAATATGTAGGAAAGCTTCGGTTGGATAGGGATACAACTACCTGGAAAATACAAGGAGAACTTCGACGTTTCGAGCGAAGGCGCTTCGACTCGTGCTGTTAGTGTTTGTATACATCGTACTTTTAATTACCTTTTATACTGTCATACCTAACACTACGTATACCATAAATTCTGGCAGCAGAGTTAAATCTACATTTTAAAGCATAAAAATATATAATACTTTATATTCTTGAGGAGATTATATTTATCAGCAAAGGTCAAATACGATGTATACAAACACTATTAAACAGTACAAATCGAAGCGCTTTCGCTCGAAACGTCGAAGTTCTCCTTGTATTTTTTAGATAGTTGTAACCCTATTCAACCGAAGCTTCCCTACATATTTCCCCCAGAATTTTTAGTTGTTTTCAATTCGATTTCAGTGTAAAAAGTATCAAATTTTCGACGCGAAATTCTAAATACTTTATTTATATTTTGCAACAATTGCCGAGCATGCTTATAAATCACGTTGGAAATTCAAAGTGAATCAATTCGATTTATCCAGAGCTATGCCTACCCTTAACCTGCGAACGGGCATGCTCGGGGAACGAGATTGGGGCCTTTCTCGCTGACCATCCAACCGCTGAAGCAAAAAGCCCTGGGTACGAGGTTGGCTAGACATATAACATAGATGTTTGGTATTATGGTAAGTGCTTCATGTCGACTGCAAATTCATTTGTTTTTCGTTGTGAATTTTTCTTAACAATATAATATATTCTCAATGAACATGTCTTTTCGCTGTTGTTTCTGTATTAATTCTTTAAAAACCTTTTAAACCAACTTCTACGTAATAAATCTACTTGGCTAACCCGTCAAAATGGTTTGAGAGGTTTTTCTCACACGTTTATCTCTCTTGAAACGAATATTTTCCTGCTAAAACTCTTGTAGTTTTTGTGCCGCCATCTTGTTTTTCGCTACTCGCCATATATGAGTTGATATACAGCGAGTTGTTCAACCAATCAGATTGAAGAATAGCTTATACGGTGGATGGCTATAGTATGACTTTATTTGTATGTTCATCTTGTTTTAGTTTCCATGTGGACCTGATGACAATATATGACAATTACATCCATTCCGTGGTAATGACATGGACGAATGATGGAGGAGTTTTTGAATTAATCATCGACGGCATATTACAATCGAGTCTGACTGGGATTGAAGCTGATGGTATAATATCTGCTCGAAGTCGATTTATCGTCGGTGGTTCTGACGTTGAGAAAAAAAACTTGGAGGTTGTCCTTCACAACTTGAATGTTTGGGACAAGGTTGGTTTTATAACAAACATACTTGCAGGGAGGTGAGTCCGGAATTGGACGCACCAAGGGTGGCTGGAAGTTTCCCGAAGTCACCGAGCGAAACATGCCATTTCGGTAAAATGTTAAAAAGTACTGAAGAATTTTATACGCATTTTACTTTTTAGTATGTAATTTTGTGTTTGGATAACGAACATTTTAGCCGCCAACATACTACCCAAACAAACAAACTTAGGCTTAAATTAAAGCTAAAAAAATTCTCTACAATACTCCCTTATTCTTCAAAAGAGAAAATGAACGCATTCTGCGAAAACAATGCCAAGATTTATATAAACCTGCCCGTGCCGAACAAATTTCGGCGGCCATCTTTCTTTTTTTCCACTTTTAATACAGAATATTCCATTTTCATCACACAAAATAAAAAAAATAATAATTATAAAACAATTAAAAACAGTTACTTTATTTTTTATTTAAATCTTCGTCTGAAATTTGCTCAAATCGCTTCATAATGGCCGCCGCCGAAACATCGATCTCGAACCCACCTCCTAAACTTATGTCAGCAGGTGGGTTCGAGATTGAACGCACCTCCTCTTAGCCAATAGGAAAGCAGCTAATACGCTAGGTATGACACAATGTGTATTATCTCATACCTAGCGTATTAACGGCTTTCCTATTAACTACGAAGAGGTGCGTTCAATCTCGAACCCACCTGCTGACGTACGTTTAGGAGTCTCAGTAAGAACCTCATGACCTCTTTAGATCAAGAAATAGATTTCTCTCAAACTTTGTACTTGAGATTGCCTTTATAAGGGTTGTCATAGACGGATTTTGTGTGTGTGGGGGGGGAGGGAGGGTTGCAGGGGGGTGCTACCCCCTCAATATTAGCTATAACCCCCCAAACAAAATGTCCACCCCTCCAAAAAAAATTTCAACCCCCCCCCAATATTCAGCATAATAAAAAATAATTAAATAGTCCACTCCAACGTGCAGAGTGTTGATGATACAAAATAAACGTAGGAGTACACTCAAATAGAAAAAGACAGTGCAATTCTCTGAAACTAATTGCTCGCTTGCATTCACTGGTTTATTGGACCAATTGTAAAGTTTTGAAACTCTACTATCTCCCCTGAATAGAGTTTGCAGTGCCTTGTCATGCAAATAGCTTGCTTGCAAGGAACGTTTGGAAATTTTACGAACATTATTTTTAGTTTTTAATTCTTTTAGGAAATAGTCTTGCCTAGATTTAATGTTTACGTCCCAAATATTATTTACATCGGAGTTACATCATAAATTGTACTCGGATTCAAACGACACAATGTCAATGATTTTATAAAAGTAAAAGCATATTGTGTATTGGCCTATTGGGTTTACACTTTTACAGGTTCATTTAACTAATAACTCTCTCAAGTCTCAACAGACAATTGAACAGGCCAAATCCATTGATATGACAACTTCAAAAAAGTTTTTTCGAAGCTAGAAATCACGATTTTTTTCAAATTTTTCCAGGGATACTTTGTTTTCTGCTCTCTAGATTCCCACTCGCGGCTCTAGTGCTCCACCCCTGGAATATAGACCTTACTGGGGTTTTGTGACACTTTGTGTTGCTTCAGTCCCTGCTCACGGCTCACCCCCCTAAAATTTCTGGCACCACCCCAGTAAAAAATATGAAAATCCGTCTATGAGGGTTGTTTCAAAATATTTTTGTTTTCAGTCTGATTTCATTTTGGCAATGTTCCAGGAGGGTTAAGTTGAGCGTTAAAATTATGATTTTTGCTGTTTCTCAATAGTGGATTTTTACTGATTTTTAAACTTCTGTACATCAAACAAAAATAATGATAAACCTAAATCATTCCACATAGTAGTAGCTTTATATGTCTTAAGTAACAAGGTATCTACAAATTTTTCAAATATGTTTTCTAAATATAGCAATGACATCATTCATGACAGACTAGAATAGAGATTTCTAAGTTCCTTAAAAATGGGTTACATAAAAACTCTATAATTCAAAAGTTAGACTTGCCATGAATGTAATATTATTTCTATGGTGAGATTAAAGGTTGGTCTTACATAATATAAAATTAAATGTTGCGGCCTGAAAATTTTGGGGGCAACAAAACATCAACATTTTCAACTTTCGGTAGTTTAGATCAAATAAGAATGTTCACCTTTTATACTGTAAACTCTGCATTCAAAGAGCGAAATTTTACTTATTATTTCGACCTAGAACAGTGATAAACATTCGTTTGACCTTTACTGTTGTCTAAAGTTATTTAGGGAAAAGCACTGACACAGACATTTCCGTTATGTATGGACCATATTGTATAAATAATAACAATTTTCGAGCTGAATATAAACAAGGCAAGTTGTAAATTTCCAACAGGTAAAGATGTCTGTTAGTCAACAAATTATCGAACATCGATTTACTTTAAAGAAGATTTATTTAAAAAGTCAAGAGAAAACCTAACCCAATATAATTTATACAAAGATAATATATGCCTCGATCAATGATCCCGATTGTCAGTTGACTTATTATTTGACATTTGTCAGCTGTCATTGTTCTTTAGTATTAATTACTTTCGATATCTTAATGATTATTGTAGACACAGTCTGATATATAAATTTTGATTCTTTGTCAACAGGCAATGCTAGTCAATTCCTGCATCATTATATTTGTCCGGAATTAATGTTGAGCTTTGTTCTGTCAAGAATGAAACAAACTAAATCTAATTTTTCTAAATATAGAAATGTTTCTACATTTAGAAAATATATTTGAAAAATTTATAGATCCCTTGTCACTTAAGGCATATAAAGCTACTATTGTGTGGAAGGATGTAGGTTTATTATGATTTCTGTTTGATGGAGGCAAAATCGTCCAAGGCTACAATGTTTGACAGCCGAATAATTTGGCTGGTCAGCGGCTTCCGCCATATTAACAATAACAAAATCGAGTAAAAACGACGGAGGAATTGACTAGCATAGCCTGTTGATGAAGAATCAAGATTTATTTGCAAGACTGTGTTGTCTACAATAGTCATTAACATATCGAAAAAGATTGACACTAAAGATTAATGGCAGCTGACAAATGTCAAATAGTAAATCTACTGACAATTGGGGTCATTGAATGACAAGGTTGTGGATCAAGCCATATCTTTGTATCAGTTAATTTAATATTGGAGTATGTTTTCTCTTGACTTTTTAAATAAATCTTCAAAATAAATCGATGCTCGATAATTTTTTGACGAACGGACGTCTTTACATGTTGCAAATTCATAACTTGTCTTTTTATTTCAGCTAGGAAATGTTTATTATTTATGCAATACGGTCCATACATAAACAGAAATGCCTGTGTCAGTGCTTTTCCCTAAAAGACTTTAGACAACAGTAAAGATCAAACGAATGTTTATTACTGTTCTATGTCGAAATAATAAGTAAAACTTTGGTCTTTGAATGCAGAGTTTACAGTAAACGGTGAACATTTTTATTTGATCTAAACTACCGAAAGTCGAAAATGCAGATGTTTTGTTGGCCTGTAGTACCCCCAAAACTTACAGGCCGCAATCTTTAATTTTACATTATCTAAGACTAACCTTTAATCTCTGCACCATACAAATAATATTACATTCATGGCATGTCTAACTTTTGAATTATAGGGTTTTTATTTCACCCATTTTTAAGGAACTTGGAAATCTCTATTTAGTCTGTCATGAATGATGTCATTTCTATATTTAGAAAACATATTTGAAAAATTTGTGGATACCTTGTTACTGGAGACATATAAAGCTACTATTGTGTGGAAGGATTTAGTTTTATCATTATTTTTGTTTGGTGTACAGACGTTTAAAAATCAATAAAAATCCACTATTGAGAAACAGCAAAAATCATAATTTTAGCCCTCAACTTGACCCCCCTGGAACTTTGCCAAAATGCAATTAGGCTGAAAACAAAATGAATTTTGAAACAACCCTTATAAAGGCAATCTAAAGTACAAAGTTTGAGAGAAATCTATTTCTTGATCCAAAGAGGTCATGAGGTTCTTACAGAGACTGCCTCTTAATCAGACTGAAATTTCAAATGACGCGAGCCAACAGATCACGACACATTTGTATATAAAAAGGGCGCGTGAATTGAACAAGTCATATATTATTAGCACTGATGAAGATCCGGGCTTACGGATTGAAAGCTTTGCAGTAATAAATTTACGTGGTGTTTCCACAAACAAAACTATTATTGAATGAGTTTTTGAGCAATTAGGTTGTTACCCATATATTATTAAGAGGAGATTTGTTTGTATGTTACTGAACACGTGCTCAAATTTAAAACTAATGAGTGTAATATACCTCTTGCTGTTCTGACTATACTGTATACATCCAAAATTTTTATTTTTCGATACGTTTCTCAATCGGCAAATAAAATAATGCCAAAATGAAGAGATTTTAGATCGTACGCCAAAGAGAAAAGTATGTCTGTAGTTCAGCAAGTTTTGCTTATATTGCTGTAAATATGGCGTCACGTCATGGCGTATATTTTAAGGTAATATCATGATTGCGGGCATTCCCTTTGTTCTCGCAGGGCAATTAATAACTAATATCCCTCATTATATTCATTTTTCTAATCCTACCCGCTTTTACGTCATGTCAGGTAGAATTAGTTCTAATCCTACCCGAAACGACGTCAAAGCGGGTACGATTAGAAAAAATGAATATATCTGAAATCGCCAAAACTAAACAAAGACATGGAAAACAATTATACCATTTAATTTATACCATTATTTATTGTTAATTGGTTTTTAATGGCCCTGCGAGAACAACGGGAATACCCGCAATCATGATATTACACTCCAACTAAATGACCCTCATCGAGCGGCGCCCAAGGGAATTTTACTAAACGACCCTCATCGGGCGGGACGTTTTAATAGCTAATTCGCCTCTTTCTATGCTATTACTTATAATAATTCCGCAGTTTTTCATTGCGCACTTTTACTGCGCACATCTTATAACTTATATTTTCATCCACTATACGTACCGTTTAAAGAAAAATCATTTTATGACGGTTTTATGTTACTTCAAAACATCTTTGGTTACATCTTGGGTGCAAAAAATTATGTTAAATCAATGTTTTCAAAAAAGGCATACAAAAGTGTAGCTATGGGGTTCCCCGTGTCTGTAGTATATTGATTTACTTGTATTTCACGTTTTAATGCCACAATTCCGTAAAACGATCGGTGACCCCCGTTTTTTAACTGATAATTTATTTCTTTAATGCATTTTACATTTTTATCCGAAATTAAAGGAAAAATCATTTCTGGATCTTGAAAAAAAGTCCTTTATCAATGCATGTTCTCAAAGAAAGATATGTAACGAAATGTGGAAAAGAAATTTATGGATCACAATTGCATGTACACGTTTGTAGTTTCACTTTGCTCAAAACACAATATTTTTTCAAAAATAATTACAAGATAGGTTTACCAAAGCAAAATCCGCTCTAAAAACGTCAATAAATATCGGGCTGTTGCTCGTAATGAGCGTCAAGATGGCGCCATATTGGGGTAAAGGTGGTATATTGTGATTGTCATATCTTCTTAACGAGTTCGGTGACCCCGACTTTTTTGTGTGATTTTACTTTAACTATATCATAAACTCCATGCCTGGGAAGTTTCAGCACATTCTCATTTCGGGAACAATTACTGCGGAATTACCTTAATTGACATTCTTTGCTATTATTTTAGTTTCTCAACCAGCAAATGCATTTAAAAAGGTAGCTAACTGTATAAACTAGAGAATAAAGCTAAAACAAACCAATTTTGAGATGTACGCCAAAAAGATTTTCGGTTTTGAACACTTTTCATCCCAAATACAGGACATAGAAAAAAATTGCTTCGTAATAGTATTCAGTTATTTTGTAATTAGGTAATCGTCTTTGAACAGCCTCTATGGGGAAATATTTAACAATTATTCGCCTCAGGCTCGGTGATTATCGGCGATTATTCGCCAAGACGAAGTCGAGGTGAATATTCCCCGATAATCACCGAACCTGAGGCGAATAATTGTTTTAGTATTTTTACACAAGTTCTTGCATTTTTTTTAACTGAATTTATTTTAATTTCGCTTATGTCTTTATCAGTACCACAAAACGGGTAGCCGCCATTTGAAAATTTACGTCAAATTTGACCAATCAACGTGTAGGATTTGTTATGTTCACTTGCGCAAGAATACTAACTTAAGAATCAATCAATCAATCCATCAAACAACACAAGTGAAAACATAACCTCCTGGCGCAATTTAAATATACTCGGTGCCTTTCTAATGATTTTTTCGCATCATTTGAAAGGTTTTATGGGATGAAATGTTATATATGATGACGTCACAGCCAGGAAGTGATATGGGAAATTTTGTTGCTTGGAGAGATTTTAAGAAACCTGCAAGTATCCCAGATGAAAATTTTCACATTCAGAAAGACAACTCCAACAATTTTCGTGTTCAAACACGTAAGTGTACCAAACATGAGCACGTGTTGTGCACGCTTGCCTTAATAAAGCTACACGCGTAAAAACGCGCAAGTTGTTACAGGTTTGCAAACAAATTGTAACAAGATTGTTGTCGAGCCGTTATCAAGATGTGTTCGCACTGCTTGGAACAAGTTGTCATCGCCTTGTTACAAGCATAGAGATGACACTATTTTAGGAATCGAGGGTGAAATTTGGGAGCGCGGTAGTGGGGGGCAAATTGAAATCCCGGATGAACACCACACAATTCTTGGGTTACACTTGAAACCAGGAAAATCCAAAACAAGTCTCACAAAACTGGGTATTTTATATGTTTTGCATATCATTACTACAAGCATACGCCAAAATTTAGAAAATTAAACGATTGATTCCCCTTGAAAAGATCAAAATTGCTGACATCAGCATTATTTTGTAGCGCCTTCAAAAATGTGTTATAGACAAATTGAGGTAAAAATGCTTGGTAAAAATCAAAACGGGATAAACAAGAGGTTTAGAGATTTTGGCTTACACTCGCTCTTATTTCAGCATTTTATTTTTTTGCCCTCCAAAAGCCGCGTTCCCTTTCTTTGACTGGATAAAGATTACGATGCCCCCTCTAGTGTTATTTATAATCTCTATGGTTACAAAGTTGATGTCGGTAACAGACGTGCTACAAATTTCCTGGTACTTTGACAGTTCTTTAAACACGAAATTTACACCGTATAAATTTAAACTGCGTTTTAAATCTTACATTTTTGTACGCAAGTCCTCTTTAAAGTGATTTTGCCCTCCCCCCCTAGAATCTCTCTTACCCCTCTAATAAAGTGTTCAACCCCACCAAAATTTCGAATTCGCTTCACCCCTCCTATTTTGTGTGAAAGTCTTTAATTAACCCAAACGCCTAACCCCTGCCGAAGCTCACTGAGTGGTGCCACTTGCACCCCACCAGAAATTTTTCTACCCCTTCTATTAAAAATATGGAAATCCGTCCTTTGTACAAATGTTGCGGAATGTTCAGCTTAGTGGACATTCCGCTTGCGAACATTTTTGAACTGCATGTGTAGATTTTTACACCCTCTGTATAATGTATAGTAAATTGTGTTCATCCCGTCCCCCCCCCCCTGGCTTAGTAAAAAACTTACGGTATTTCCAATGTGAATTTTCAGTTTTCATGAACAATGTTGGACTCATGTTCTCTACACCATTTCCTGCGTATTCTCATTGTCTTAGTTGTGGTTGCTGTTGGCCCAAAGGCGGAGTGGCAGTTACGATGTGGCTGCAATTGACTAGATTCCCAGTAACGCTTCTCAGTTTAAAGGGTAAGGACGATGACATCACGACCTTGTCATTGAGGATCTTGTCTGATGGAAACATAACATTCTTTTTCAAAGGCGAAAACGCAAGGTTAGTCATATTTACCATTTGAAATGTAACAAACAATTGGCATTGTCATATAGCTAGGGTAAACACCAAACGTGATTAGCTGATGTGTGATCACGTGGATTTAGATAAATGCAATGTTTCCCGCCGAGTGACAAGTGAAAAATTGTTGCTCGCCCCGACCGACTACATTACGTAAATACATTAAATGGCGGCACAATTCACAAGTTTTTAAACTACGGTTTTCCAAGTTTGTGTTAAAATAAAGAATAAATAATTTTGTGTTTTTAATTTAAATCAAGAATCACACAAGAGGTTTTTGATAATACTTTTATTTTAGCTACGTTTCGGATAGTTTACTATCCGTCCTCAGGCTAACAAATTGTTCTTACATTTGACGTGTACAACTTTTCAACGTTCATCTCACGCAAGCTAATTTAAATTAAACTGCGTGCGCGCACGCGCGCGCTCGTTTTCCTTAATAAAGAATTTGTTTAATATTGGTCTCCAAGTAATCAATGATTCAAAACTATTTAAAACTTTCTTTTTCCCTAAGAGACTCAATTCCTTCTATAACTTTCCGCTGTCTTAATCTATATTCATTTCTCAATATTCGCGTGTTCTCTCAGTCTATTTCTTCCGTACACTCTATACTGTGCCTTGCTAAACCTCCGTCTTCTTTCCCCATTCGTTCTTCCGCCACCGCCATTCGTCCATTTCTCATATCCTCGTTTGTTAAACTTACTTTGTTCTCGTGTTCCTTCTTTCTCACCTTAAGCAACCTCGACGTTTCTCCTACATACACCGCTTTCTTGCACTTGCATGGGATCTCGTAAACAACAGATTTTCGCCACGTTGTTGTTGAGCCCTCGCCTTCAATTCCTTTATTTTATTTCCTGATTTAAATGTCGTCCGAAATGAATGTTTGGAAGCTAATCTTTTCAGTTGTTCCGATATGCCCTGGATGTAATGTACAATTATCATTCCCCGATACTCTTGCTCTTCTGACTCAGTCCTTTCGCGTTTATCCTCTCGCATGTATTCTTGAACCTTCCGTCTTTCGAAACCATTTGCCACAAACACATCTTCTACGTTCTTTAGCTCTTCTTCTAGGTGTTTCTCATCACATAACGCTCGCGCTCTGTCTGAAAATCCTTTGATGAAGCCTTTTTTCATACAAGGAGGATGATTCGATTTTGCTTTCACATTGATGTTGGTGTGTGTCTTCTTATAATGAACCATACACTCGACTTGTTTCGTTTTCTCCTCTTTTTGTTTCAAATCCAGTACTGGCAACGTATCTTCTACTTGATTTTCTTTCGTGAATGCAATGACGTCTGGTTTAATGCTATTCAGGTGTTCGAGTATTTCATCGGATTGATCTTCCTTGCACTTCATTTCACTGTCGTCTACAACCAATACCATTGATCAAGGGGATATGGAGATGTTGGAATTGCACGAATTTGAAACTCTTCCATATAGATTATGGCGAGCTCACCAGTTACTCCATGACCAATCGGTCCACTTTCTAATACGTAATGCTTGCCGTCAAACTCACAATAGGACAAACCAAACATCCATTTCAATATTTCCATTACCGACTGTACGGTTAAGTCAGTTTTATTTACTAAGGTTTTACTTTCTCTTAACAACTTTTCAATCAATTTTAATGCCTCATTTATTGGTATCGATGGATATAAGTTCTTCACATCATAACTCACGAGTATCTCGTTTCTTTCCACACGCCAGTTCTTAACTTTTCCTTTCAATTCTCGCGAATTTTTTGGATAAAGTCCACTTCTTCCCTGAATTGTTCTCAGAATTGGAATGACAAATCTTGACAGTTTTTCAAAAGGCGATCCTACCATTGAGACCACACCTCTCAGTGGAACACCATTTTTGTGGATTTTTGGCAGTCCTGATAACCTAGGGGCGTGACAATCCTTTGGTTTTAACCGATCTGCATTCTCTTTTGAAATTTCGCCTCTTTCGACAATCGTTTCAATAACCCTTGTACCATCTCGACAAACTTTATCAGTCAAATCCCAGTCCTTTTTTGCTCTTATAGAAGGTTTTGCCTTGAGATCAACCAATACTTGTTTCATCTTGTATTCATAACTTTGTTCACCACCTTCACTTTCAAATCTGTCCATAGCTACCATTATCCGTCCTTTATCTGCCGGTAAGAATACTTTTCTTTTATCTTGTAGAGCCTTCTTTTTTCCATTTAACTCTTCTTTCGTCAAATTCGTTTTATACTTTTTGTGTCTAGCTTTCTCCAAAATAACTTTTACATTTTCACGTATCTCACCAATTTCATGTTCAACAATTTCTTCATCAATTTCATTAATCTCGCCTTCTCTCTTTATCTTTGTACACATTTTCTCTGTTTCTGCTATAATACGTTCATACGGAACTCTTGTGGGAGCTTCACAAAAACCTGGTCCCAGAGACAAGTAGCTCTTAATATCATTGTCGATACCATCTTTCGTGAGATCAATGACTTCATTCTTTATCTTTTCTTTCATTCTTTCGTGGTCTTCTAACAATTGTCTATTTTTATTCTCGAGATTTTCTTTTTCTTTTATTAATGCGTCAAATTTTCTCACCTGTCTCTTCTTCACACTCTCGTTTTCTCTGTTTTCGGAAACTCTGATAACTTGCTCTACCCAATGAAAATCATCTTGCGTAAAAGTTTCTTTCAAATCCATTAAAATATCTCTCTTTTGCTGATTTATATAATATAGTTTTCGACGAATATCTTTAATCCGGGTTTGTACTCGAGTAGTTTCCAATCTTTTTTTCATTCGTGTAACATTACGTACTTTAAACTCATCTTTTAATAACCGTATTCGAAGTCCTTGTGGAACAACACCTCTATCTCTGCACTTCTTAAGAATTTTAGATGATTCTTCAGTCTTACTTGTTTTAATGTACACTTTTGTAAGTTGTCTGTTTGTTTCAAACCGCGGCTCCGGCCATACCAATTTTTAATTGCTTTTCTGAAACTTTCACCTCTGTTCATAATAAATATTGAAGAAAGTAAAAGAGAGAATGTAAAATAAAGAATGTAAAAGAGAAGAAAAATACACAACAGGCAACAGGATATGCGGCCGAAACTGTTCTTTTATCATTTTACACCCGCGTTTACAGTAAATATCGCGACTTTCGGAAGCTTATTATTCGAAGGGTATTCATGTAAAGTCTTTAAACTTTGCATACCTACTACTTTTGAGGTGCTCTTTTAGGTGGTTTGGTTCATTTCTTAATTTGGACACTTTTTAACATTTGTCCCCAGTCCTCTCATCAACTTCGGAATGGGGAATTACTTTCAATTGGCAAAACAGTAGAAATTAGGAAGCAACGAAGTTATTAAGAGGAGATTTTTCTGTATGTCACGTAACACGCGCTCAAAACTAATGCGTACAATATATCACTTGAGGTTATGACTAAATTCAAAATTTTTATTTTTCGATACGTTTCTCAATCGGCAAACAAACTTAGAAAGTACGTTTAGTGCTTTATGTGTAAAATAACACTAAAGTGAAGAGATTTTAGATGATACGCCAAAGAGAAAATGATGTCCGAAGTCCAGTAAGTTTTGCTTATATGACTGTAAATATGGCGTCAATTTTAAAGCATCATTGATAATTGTATTTTAATTGACTATTTTTAACTATTATTTTATGTTTCTCAACATGCAGATGCATTTAAAAAGGTAGCTAACTCTATAAACTAGAGAATAAACGTAAAACAAAGTAATTTTGAGTGGAACGCCAAAAAGATTTTAGGTTTTGAACACTTTCATTGTAAATACGTGACATTGAAAAAAAATTACCTCTTAAATACAAATATCTTCATTTTGCACAACAGCAAAAACGCAAAAAATTCTCGGATTATGCGATTTACAAAGTCGTGTTTTACAATCTACTATTTTACTGCAGTTCAGGCCGTAGCGAGGGGGGTATTGGGGGGGGGGTGTTAACCCCCCCCCCCAACTTTTTTAGAATTAGCATATTCGGAAAATCGGGTTGGCCATTCGGAAAATTACGGCAATAATAGTATAACAAAATTTTAGTTGTTAAACAAAAAAAATATTATATAATTGTATTGTCAGCATAAACTGATTTACGAAATCGTAAATCGGTAAATATTTTTCGGTTTATTACTTCTCAGGGTCGTTGCCCAGAGACAGATTTTCATATTTTCGTTCGGGGGGGTGGATAAATATCTGGGGGGTGCTGCTGATTGCTTTGACCGGGGCCTGGTGGCGACGCCCGGAAAGGCCAAGGAAAAAGTTTGACAAATCGACAAACATTGTTTTCTAGGCCTGCAAGGCGAGATCTGAGACCATAATATTGGTAATTTTACAAATTTAGTAGTAGGAATAATAAAATATGAAACTATCAAATCAAAATATATATAATTTCCGGGGGTGCAAAAACTTTTGAGGGCGGTGCCAAATGCCTCTGGGTGGATGCAAATCATTTCTGGGGTGGGGGGTGCGAATCATTTCTGGGCGGTGCCCGTGCCTGTAGCAACCGCTGGGGGGGGGGACTAGGCAACCTCGTATCCAAGGCTTCTGCGCTTATTGCTCTCAGAAGCCCTGGAATGATCCAAACCGGAACACCAAAGAACATTGGGGCCCCCGGAAGCGGAAGTAAACAGTAGCTTCGGCTAAAAACGCTGACTGGGCATATTTTTACGCAACGAGTGAGAATGCATTATTTGTTGCAATTTATAATAAATTTGGACTTGTAAAGACGTCTTAAACTGCTTCTCGCGTGGCTTTTGGAATTCAAAGTCGGGAATGATCAATTTAGAGATACAATTATGCGTAAAATAAGCCCTTTGGTGAGCAAAAGAACATCTTATATCGCGACAAAAGCATACCTTGTCAGCGATATACAAGGGTTATTCAATAATTAAAGTATAAATATTTATGCTCTAGTACAACACTGCTACAACCTTGGTCATTTCAAAGTCAACAAACTTGAAATCTTACTGGTAACATGGCTGGCTGCCGATTATCTTGGATTTGAGGGTTTTAAACAGGATATTGCAAGATTTAATTATAAATACACAAGATATACTGTACTGTAAACATGCATCTACTTGAATAATGTAAAATGAACAGTGCATGATGAGTGATGTAATATAATTCTGTACTTATTTGGAAAACCTTTTTGGCAAATCTTGAGAATAATGGCTTTGGGAATGTTGAAAATTAAAATTGTCAGATAGCTGCATGGACAGCAAGGTTAAAAGCATACATGTCATCAGGTGAAACTCTAACTTTTGTTAATTGGCAACTGAAATACATTTTAATTAATGACAATTGATGTTCTAATATTAGAATGAACAATATTATAAGAACCAATGGTGCTCAACTAATTTGGGTTTATTATAAAATATTGTTTTTCATTTAGTTCTGGCCATTAACCTTAGCTATCATACATTGTGTCTACTTTTTATTTTACTCTGACTGTCTAACACCAGATGATTTTATATGTTGGGATAGATGACTCAATGAATTATCTCATAATACAGACTAGATTGTTAACCTACTCTGTCTAATCATGCTAACACCATCAATGGCAATGGAATTGAGCAGTGATTAGCCAGAATTTCCAATTAAGGCGTTTAAGGGGGAATGAAATACCCAGGAGGGGCCTGTATATATATATGTATATGTATATGTATATATATATATATATATATATATATATATATATATATATATATATATATATATATATATATATATATATATATATATATATATATATATATATATATATATCAAGAGCCAGCCCCAAAAAATCTTCATTTATAAATATCAAGAAATCAAAAACTTCAAAGTAATTAAATTATATTTTTTACGTTTCGGGGACAAGCCCCTTCTTCAGAATAACGCTACATCATCTCCGTCTCTTGCTTAAATAGTCTAACGTTTAGCTATACATAAATTAATTAAACCTCTTCCCTTAAATTAAGCCCACGTGGGACATAACTATTAAGTTTCTCAATCCAAAAGCTCTCCCTCTCAGTGGGATTATTAATGTCCGTGACGTCAATAACCTGCACTAAAAAATCACTTAGACCTGAATGTCCCTCCCCCCAAAAATGGGCATACAATTGTTGCCCACAAATATATCTCTGCCCCCGCCCATATCTATTTAATGCACTCTTGTGGTTATTAAATCGCAATCTGAACGGTGTTATGGTATTCCCCACATATTGCAATCCACAGAATTTACAACTAATGAAATACACTATACCCTCCGAGTCACAATCGAAGCGATGATTAATGCAGAAAGACCGCCCCTCAACATGGCTTTTAAAAGTAGCACCAGTAATGACAGTGTCACAGATTTTACATTTCATCTTTCCGCACTTAAACATCCCTGCGACCGTTTCCTCTTCCCTTCTCAATTTAGAACGGACTAAGTGATCTTTAAGGTTTTTAGACCGACGAAACACATACCATTGGTGGTTCCGGCATAATACTTAAAAACCTTTCAGACCAACTTACAATTACTTGCAATTCCCTAATGATATTATAAAGGACCCTCAATGCTGGATGATAATCTATCACAAAACAGTTCCTATTACGATTCTTAACACCTTCTTTCCGCATTAACAAATTATTCCTGTCGACTTTTCTCACTCTACCAAAATGGTCATCAACATAATCCGAATTATAACCCCTCTTCACCAAAAAACCTTTTAGCTCACTTAGTTTTTCCTCAAAAGCATTTTCCGAATTACAAATTCGCTTTAAGCGCAAACCTTGACTATAGGGAATCGCTCTCTTGACATGTGGTGGGTGACAAGATTTAAAATTCAAATACCGATGTGTATCAGTAGGCTTAGAATACACATCAGTATGGAACGCACCATTAACTTTATTAATCCACAATCGAGAAAAGCAATTTCCTGTCGACTAATTTCCCAAGTAAACTCAATATTCTCATGAAATGAGTTCAACTTATTGAGGAAATTGTTTATTTCCTCCTCCCCGTGAAGCCATATCATGAAAACATCGTCCAAAAAACACCACCAAACCCAAGGTTTAAGCTCGCAAGAATCTAAAAAACGTTCCTCGAAATACCCCATAAATAAATTTGCAAAACCTGGCGCACATTTTCTCCCAATAGCCGTTCCCAATTTTTGTCGATATATATATAAATATATATATATATATATATATATATATATATATATATATATATATATATATATATATATATATATATATATATATATATATATACATATATATATATATATATTAAGAGCCAGCCCCAAAAAATCTTCATTTATAAATATCAAGAAATCATAAATCTTCAAAGTAAATAAATTATATTTTTACGTTTCGATTGTGACTCGGAGGGTATAGTATATTTGATTAGTTGTAAATTCTGTGGGTTGCAATATGTGGGGAATACCATAACACCGTTCAGATTGCGATTTAATAACCACAAGAGTGCATTAAATAGATATGGGCGGGGGCAGAGAAATATTTGTGGGCAACAATTGTATGCCCATTTTTGTGGGGAGGGACATTCAGGTCTAAGTGATTTTTTAGTGCAGGTTATTGACGTCACGGACGTTAATAACCCCACTGAGAGGGAGAGTTTTTGGATTGAGAAACTAAATAGTTATGTCCCACGTGGGCTTAATTTAAGGGAAGAGGTTTAATTAATTTATGCATAGCTAAACGTTAGACTATTTAAGTAAGAGACGGAGATGATGTAGCGTTATTCTGAAGAAGGGGCTTGTCCCCGAAACGTAAAAATATAAT